GTGGGGGCAGAGTGGCGGAAGGCCCGCCCGTCAATAGTGGGGAGAGCGAGGTGGTTGACCCATACAATCACTCAGTCCTAAAGCAAGTGATGCTGATTTAATGGTTAAAATGAAATAAACTGAGGCATAGCTGTGGATTATTGGACTGCCATCCATAAGATCTTGTGGTTCAGATTTAATTACTTTACTGAGTGTGGTGAATATGTGGAGTAGTCGACTCAAGGGAAGCAGTGCAGCCAGATTGACAGCAAATTCAAGAGGGAATTAGATATGAGACATGGGGGGCAGAATTCCAGGACCTGCGGCAGAGGTTATCTTGGAGGCAAAGGACAACCCCCAGCTTCTCTTTTCCACCACTAACCGTCTCCTTGTCCACTTTCCAATACCTCGCCCATTCTCTCCTCAAACTCCAACTGTGAGGAGATGCTGGACTTCCTCGAATCTAAAATCGAGAGGATACGATCAGCCACCTCAGCCCCATCCACAGCCACCCCCACATCACCTCTCCCTCAGGACCCACCCCCCACCCATCCAACTCTATACTCCTTCGACCCTATCTCTCCCTCCTCCCTCACTACAACTGTCCGCAAACTCAAACCCACCACCTGCTCCCTCGATCCCATCCCCACCTCTCTCCTCCACCTTCTGGCCCATCTTCTGTCCGACATCATCAACCTCTCCTTGTCCACCGGTTCAGTTCCCACCCCCCTAGAAACAGCCGTCATCACCCCCATCTTGAAAAAACCTTCCCTGGATCCATCCCTTCTCTCCAGCTACTGCCCCATCTCTAATCTCCTATTCCTCTCCAAGGTCCTGGAACGAGTCATTGCGTCCCAGCTCCGCTCCTTTCTCTCTCGCCATTCCCTCTTTGAACCCCTCCAATCCGGCTTCCGCGCTGCCCACAGCATGGAAACAGCCCTGGTCAAAGTCACTAGTGACATTCTGAACATCTGTTATCAGGGCTCCCTCTGCCTCCTTGTCGTCCTCGACCTCTCTGCCGCCTTCGACACTGTCGACCACTCCATTCTCATACACCGCCTCTCCACTTTACTCAATATTCACGGACCTGCCCTTGCCTGGTTCGATTCCTAACTCTCACTGTCTCCACTTCGTTGCCTCTGAAAGTTGCTCCTCCAGCCCCCGCACTGTCACATCTGGCGTCCCCCAGGGCTCTGTCCTTGGCCCTCTCCTCTTTAATATCTACATGCTCACCCTTGGTGACATCATCCGCAGACATGGGGTCAACTTCCACATGTATGCGGATGACACCCAACTCTATCTTTCTGCCTTCACCCCCAACTCCAGGATCACTGCTGTCCTGACAGACTGCCATCAACAACAACAACAACAAGATTTCATTTATAGAGCGCCTTTCATGTTGGGAGGACATCCCAAGGCGCTGGACAGTTGGGTCAGGACCCGAGCAGGAGGGAAATGGTCAGGGTGAGGGGAGGGAAGGGAGGGAGCTCGGAGGGGGTAGAGTGTCAAGAGGGGAGCTGAAGGCAAATCCTGGATGTGGGGAAACTTCCTACAGTTGAATGTGAGTAAGACTGATGCCCTCCTGATTGGCTCGCGCCAGCGCCTCAGCACCTCAGTCTCTGGCAACATCAACCTCCATGGTTTCACACTACAACTCACCAAACCAGTCAGGAACCTCGGTGTCTTGTTCGACCCTCAACTGTCTTTTCTCCCACACATTCAAACCATGACCCGTTCTGCTTTCCCTCAACTTCGTAACATTGCCCGACTCCACCACTACCTCACCCCTCAGGCCGCTGAAACTCTTGTTCATGCCTTCATCACCTCCAGGCTCGACTATGCAAACGCCCTGCTTGTCGGCCTTCCCAACTCCTCCTTCCACAGGCTGCAGATAATCCAGAACTCTGCAGCCCATGTCCTCTAATGTACCAAACTCTGTGACCCCATCTCCCCCACTCTCGCCCGACTCCATTGGCTCCCTATCCTTCAGAGGATCCAGTTCAAGATCCTGGTCCTCACATACAAAGTCCTCCATGGCTTTGCCCCACCCTACCTCTGCGACCTCCTAACCCCCTACCAAGCCGACCATTCTCTCCGCTCAGCCAGCTCTGGCCTGCTCCACGTCCCCCGACCCACCCGCCCCACCATTGATGGGAGAGTCTTCAGCCACTCTGCCCCCAACCTCTGGAATTCCATCCCCCAATCACTCCGCCTCACCCCCTCCTTAGCCTCCTTCAAGTCCTGCTTCAAGACCCTCCTCTTCGACCATGCCATCGGCCACCCCCTTTTCCCTCCTCTCCCTTCCCCCCACCCGACCCCAGCTTGGGTCAGAATTGCTGTACTCTGTCCAGCGCCTTGGGACGTCCTCCCGACGTGAAAGGCGCTATACAAATGTAATCTTGTTGTTGTTGTTGAGGCTGCATTTAGTGACACCACTATTAGGATTTTATAACAATAAGCACTCTTTGTATTTGATACATAAGATTCACCCATAAAAATACACACAGCGATATCACTCTACAGTATATCCGGTGAAGCACTTTGAGATATCTAAACGACGTGACAAGACACTATATCAAATATAAGGATTATTATATAACGTTGACATTGCTCAAAGACCTACACAGGTAATCGCTGTAGTAATTGTGGATTTGCAAGCAAATGCAGCAGCTAATTTGTACACAGCAGGATCCCACAAGGAACCGCGGGGTGAATTTATTTGAAGGAGTGTTGTCCAAGACCCTGAGAGAAACTACCATCTCTTTTTCAAATAGCATTCACTTGTACAGGCAGAGAGAATCTCAGTAACTGTTTCATCCAAAGATCAGCTCTGCCAATGCAGTGCAATGACAATGCAGAGCTCCCTTAACATTGCATTGAAATCTCAATCTAGACTATGAGCTCAAAGTCCCATGGATCATGAACCCACAAGCTGCTATCTCGTGGTCTAGGTGAAGAAGAGCAGAAAATGACTTTTTACTAACGATTGACTTACAAATGGCCATGTTCATACTGGTCTGAACCGTTTTTTATTGTTGAAATATTTTATTAGAGTAGGTCTAAACTTTGGGGGTTTATGTGTCATATATGTTTTACACTGTGTGAGCTCGTTTTCATCTGGATGTCCCATGTGGTTCCACTGCATTGACATGAAAATGAATGCTAAAGTGATTAAAATAATTTCTTAAATATTTATTCTTTGGTAGAAAATGATAAATTACACCACTGAATAACATCAATCAATCAGTGCTAAATCTGATAGAAACACCCAGGGTAGAAAGGGTGGGGCACTTTCTGTCTACAGTAGTATTTTCCTGTTGAGGGAAAATTACCCCCTCATTGTATCAAGGTCTGTTAGGACATTTAAAGAACTGCGCCACACAACTTGGCAGGAGCAATATTTAGTCCCTTATGTATCCTAAGATGATGATCTCAGCTTGGGAAATGTTATGTGTTCTACATGTCATCTTGGTGCACCTAAACTAGGAAGCAGAAAAATCAGACAGGGTTGGTAGAGTCCTGTAGCGTATTGGTTACCGCGCTCGCTTCGTAAGCGAGAGGACCTGCTTTCAATTCCTGGGCTGGGGCGAAATTTTAGACAAGTTTCCTTCCTCCACATGCCTCTATTTACCTAGCAGCAAGTACCAGTCGGTTGTTAGTTGATTAGCGAATTGCTTTCCAGGGTTAATGACTTATGTGTCAGCCTGGCGCAGTGGTAGCCACTCTTGCCACAGAGTCAAAAGGTTGATGACCCACATTGGGACTTGGAATCACATAGTCTAAGCTGACATTCCAATGCAGAGCTGGGGTGGGGGTTGCAAGGTCCGAGGTTCTATCCTTCAGATGAGATGTTAACTGACGTCCCATCTGTCTATTCAGGTGGATGTTAAAGATCCCATGGCACTATTCGAAAAGAGGAGGGAGTTTCTCCTGGTGTGCTGGCCAACAATCCCTCCAAATTAAAAATTGGTCACTCACTCCCTGGCTGTTTGTGGGCCATTGCTGTGCGCAACTGGCTACTGTGTTTTGCCCACAAAATACAGTCAATCCAGTTTACAATATGTCCTGTCAAGCGCTTGGAGACATCTCAACAACGTGATAACAACAGCAACAACATATTACATACGTATAGAACTTTTCAAGTCAGGAGGACGTCCCAGGGCGCTGGACAGTCAGAGATCTGCACCCGAGCTGGTGGTTGGGATCAGCAGGGGCGGAGGGTGGGGAGGGTAGGGGTAAGAGGGTAACCAAAGGCACAGTCGAAGAGGAGGGTCTTGAGATGGGTGTTACAGGAGGCAAGGGAGGAGGCAAGGCGGAGGAACTGTGGCATGGCAATCCAGAGGGTGGGGCAGAGATACTGAAAGCCTGCCTGCCAATGGCGGGTAGGCGAGGTGGGGGAAATGCATCAGGCCAGAGCCTGCTGAGCAGAGGGAGCGGACAGGTTGGTAGGGGTTAGGAGGTCAAAAGGTAGGGAGGAGTAAGGCCGTGGAGGGCTTTGAGGACCAGGATCTTGAACAGTATCCTATGAGTGACGGGGAGGCAGTGGAGTCGGGCGAGGATGGGGGTGATATGTTGCTATAACAAATGGAAGGATTATTATTATGAGCAGTTAAAACTGCCCAAAGCATCTTGAACTGCAATCTTCAGCATGCAATTATATAGACTGTAATAGCATTGGAACATTTGGCTTAATTAGTCCACGCTGGGGATTATACGTCACATGAGCTTTCACCCCTCCTGATTCCCTCTCCCATACCCTTCTACCTCAAGTATGCATCGACAATGCAATCTCAGCAGTCATGTTATGATCCTAAACTGCACCAGCTTCATTCTCATGTTATGGTGCCAACTGATCTTCTCTCCAATAGCCACATTATGGTGTTTCAATTACTCACATGTACAGTATCTGTTGTTCTCTGTATGTTGTCTATTTGAAGCACATAGTGGGTCTTACATTCCAAGGTTGCAAGTGCTGAGATTCATATGACCATCCAGTATATAACTTTTCTTTTGTCAAACAGATGAGGTACTGTCTGAAAATTTCCTGGACTACAAAAACCGTGGAGTTAATGGATCACACAGAGGACGGATCATTTGGAAAATCGAGCCAGGTTCCTATTTTGTGGAGTGTAAGTACTATGGCAAACTACACTGCTGTTTTCAAAAAGTCTTTATTTTTCACTCTATTCACTAAAACGCAATGCCCAATCTATACCAAAATGCATTGTCCCATTGCAAAAGATTTGTGAATGGCATTATTGTGTCAATAGCTGATGTATAGGAATTCTCCCTACCCAGATTAGCTGTCCCTCTAAAAATCTGCTTCAGATAACAGTCTGCTTTATCATTTAGAGAAAGACCAGCATTTAATTCATTCAGCATTTTGTCCGTCTTAAGATGCATGTATTTCATTACAATTTATTGCTGGTCAGTGAGATTTCAAGCTCTTACAGTTCATCAGTTTAGTGGTGGGCTTTAGCTATTAATCAAAATGGATTCGAAAGGGCATGATAATACTTCACAAGCAGCAATGCATGAACCAACCCGGAATGATTACTGCAACCAATGCAATTTTTTGTGACTGATAACTCTAACGTTAGTTGTGTGGTTCCGTTGTAATGCCTGGTGTTCACTGCACACTGTAGTTTATTTAGTAACCTATTCTGCTAACGCAGTAATGTTCCATGCTCCCAGCCTCAACAGTATGTAGTGGATTTCCACCCACAGACAACAAAACTGACAACTAACACGAGGGAAGATGCGGGAATACTCTCCTGCAGCAATAAGTGATGTCTCACATCAAAGTGCAGTGGGAATTTGGGAACCTAGTTTGTGTTATGCAGTCTAGGGTTCTGGCAATCTTTTGGATTGGTTTGTCATTTTCTCACTGCATTGTTTTGATCAGTCTGCTGTTGCTGAGGTTACCAATGCTCAGACTAGGCAACACCTGACCAAAGGAATAAGCTTTCATTGCTTATTTATATGGCACTGATAGATACCAATTTAAGCACAGCCAGTAAACACAAGTGGAAACAATGGTGACATTGAAAACTCATTATTTCAGGGTTTCTGTATAAAAATGTACATCAAAATGTTTCGCTATTTGTAAGATGCTCCTTAAATCGTCTAGCCTAAAGTCTGTACATATATGAGGAAAAGGAATTACGTTGATGCTGAAAAAAACCTGCTATGTTACTGCCAGAATATGTTATAGTGTGGGGGAGGGATCATTTTCCTGCTGACTTTAACAAATTAAAAGAGTATTGCCTTTTAGCAGCTTTGATGTACATAAGACATCACATGAACTCAATCGTTCTTTGTCTTACTTTGTGGTCTAATTTACAATGTTGTGTAACAGTGTTATGCTGACTTGGAGGAACCCCACAATCTGGTCCATGAGAACAGGAGCTTCCTTTCAGCCCATCAAGCCTGCTTCGCCAGTTTATTGCATCACGGCAGATCTCTAACCTCATTTCTCCACTATTTCCCATACCCTTAACAGCCATTTTTCTCACGTAACCATTAATCTCCTTCCAGCATTGGACTCTGCATTGCATCTGTGATTAGTCTCCTTTGATCTATCACCCAACAAATCTGAGGGATATTTAAAACGATGTTTAAGTGATATTTCCAAAGCACATTGAAAATATTTATTTCAAAAAATGCACACAGTCGTTTAAGAAATATGTTTCCACGTTTCAATGAGATCACATTAGCTATTCCAGATGAAGTAATTAACAATCAATCGGGAAAGTATCGAAAGCCTACCTTTCAAAATCATCTTATTTGCAATAAATGCAACAAAGTTTTTTTTAATTAATTAAGACCAGATAATCCTTGCACAGTTGGTCATCAGCAGGTACTCTGTAGAGACACTATTAAAGTGGAAATGTCGTTTCTTAGGATGGTCACTGTCATTATTATTCTACCCTTCTGAAGCTAAAAAGATAAAATCCTGCTTAAACCAGTCTTTTTCTTGGAAAATAAAAACAATAGCCTCTTGAAAGGCTGCAAGCTGTGGTGTATCAAAGGGATATTATTTATTTAGCTCACGTGTCTGATACGTTGATAACCTTGACTTCGTTCAACAGATATGCACTTCCTGACTTAAATGCATTCTTTTGCTCCTGAAGTTTATTTCAGGGGTTCAAACTCACTAACTTGTGGAAGCTGTGGGCTGTCATCACATTAATTGGGCTGCAGAATTTTGAGGTTGACAAATCTAGTTGAGAAGCTGCTTCTCGCTATTACATTTTTTTTGCTTTAGAAGTTTTGTTGGGTGAAGGAATAACAGTTAAAAGTTGTTAAAACAGTTGTTAATATCAGATGTTAAAAATCCCATAATACTATTTTAAAAGAAAAAGGAGCTTCTCCTAATAGGCTAACAACCTACCAGATCGTTCACCTCATAACAGTTTGTGGGACCTTGTTCTGCACAAAATTTGACTCCTTAGTTACAAACATAACATCAGTACACTTGACAGCAATTAATTATGAAGTGCTTAGAGTTGTTTCAACATCGCAGGTGCTGTATCAAATGAAAAGATTAGCAGTATTATATTTATCACATTGGCACGTATAGGACTTATGTTAAGAAATCCAACTAAAGCTCTCTTATGTCTTAATTCTGCAGTTAGTGGTCCCAAAAATACCCTGTCGTAACGTGTAATATAAAATACATATGTAAAGTACATAGAAACATGTTTGTCCACATGTAGAATACTTTGAAAAATGAACTTATGTATTTATATATTCACATTTCTCCCATTAAACCCAAGAAGTTGCAAAAAGTATATCTTAGTGTCAGGTTCGTTCAGAATTTCTTCCAACAATAAAATGCTCCAATTGATATATAAAATTACAAAAGCAGCGGAGTTTCTCAAGCAACTATATTTAGTAAAGCAGATTTAACCTTCCACTGCTATTAAATCTTATTCTTAATCCTTTGTGAGCTGTGATCTTACTTATTGCATGAACTAGTGACAATCTGTAAACTGTGGCTGTAAACTATTCAGTTCACTACTCAAAGTGAACTGACTATATTTTGTGGGCGAAACGAGGTAGCCAATTGCGCACAGCAGTTGGTTCGACAAACAGTCATGGATTGAGTGACAAAATTATTATTTTATTAAAATAGAACTTACATTTATATGGGGCCTTTCATGTAGGGATGACATTATAAAGAGCTTGACAATGAGGGCTGGGCACCTGAGCTGGGGGTGGGTGCTGAAGGGTGCGGAGGGGAAAGATGACTGGTCAAAGAGGTACCTGTTGAAATACGCTTTGAACAAGGAGAGGGAAGGAAAGAGTCAGAGGGTCCAGGATGCAGTTCCAGAGATGAGGGCAGAATGGCTGAAAACCCCCACCCTCCCCTATGGGTCGGTTTGGTTGTGGAGGTACTGTGAGGCAGATGTCAATACTTTGAAGAGTTGAGAAATATAAAATGTGGATAGTCTGTGGAAGCTAACCTTTTAAAGTCAATCAGGATGCTGTAGGAACCCTTTCAGGAATTCTGAGGATCTCTCAGATGATGGGTATTATGTACTGTGTTTGCATGCTTTGTCTAATGGTACCTGATAAACAAGTGGAGTAAAGACAGGGGAAATTACTAGTTGCTAAGGTGTCAATAATAATAATAATAATCTTAATTCGGTATTTGGTAAAGACTCTTTCATATTATGGATGACCCAAAGGAATTCACATGATTTAACCAGCACCTTGGGATGTCCTCCCGACATGAATGGCACTATACAAATGTAATTTTGTTGTTGTTGGTTACTGTAAAAAAGTACAGTGACTATGTTTCATGTGTGAAATTTGCGCACAGCAATGTCCCACAAAGAGTCATGAAATAAGTGACTTTTTTTTTATTTGGGGGATTGTTGGAACTTCCTGCGTTGGATTGATTCCATGTCCTGACGTGGGGCTTGAATCCACAACCTTCTGACTCAGGGGCGAGAGTGCTATCACTTCACCAGGCTGATACACACCTTGGCTTTTATTAAAAACAAATAAATCACTGAGTTTTTCTCTTGCACTTTTGATTAACAGATGTGGCACGTTATGTGTGTTATCAATATTTATACACAGTATTCTGGGAGAAAACAAGAATATGGGATATGATCAGTTAATATTTTAACCAAGGAGAAACTTGAAACTTCCTTAAGTGAATAACAGGTCATGTTTAGGAATGGTGCAAATTTTAGTCCTATATTTCTAATATTTCTAAAACTTGGTGCTTCATGGTAAGCGCAACCTTTAATGCAGCACTCTAGCTCTCACGACTTGTGCTTTGGGAATTCTAAATGGGTGTAATTCTGCACAAAAGGCCTGTTACAGTATTTATTTCATGCATGCAGCATCCTGGTTGACTTTAAAATACCTCTGGGCGTTCCAGATTTTACACACGTGCTTTGTTGTACTATTAATAATAATTACTATTTACAACCTACTAATAGGAAGCTCCTTGCAAGCCAACGGCAGGCAAACTCGTTACTCAGTATGAAAATGAGCAGGAGCACTTTTAACAACTGCACACTGCTCTGCCACTCACTTCCAAGGCTGATGTCATGTTACTGTCAGAGGAATGGCTGAAGATGTCTCCATTGTTGATGGATGTCATCTCCCAACAGCAGCAACACTGCTGTTTATAATGAGCATTGACAGCCAAACATCTAACACCGACTGTAAGATATAATGGTGATGACTTGCCATTCGTTGATCAGAAAATTGCTGCAACAAAAACTACTACTACCACTGCTAATAATCCTTACATTTGGTTCATCACACCTTTCACCTCAGAGGACGTCCCAACGTACTCCACAGGATATACTGTAAAGTATAGTGAAATTGTGTATTTTGTGAGCAAACACGGCAGCCACTTGTCAGTGTGACAGTTACCAACCGTTGGGATGATTTCTAGTTTTGTGGATCATATGTTCTCTGCTTCCACCTTCTTTTAAAAGGGAACCACCAATTTACTGCACACAAGGTCACTCCTCTTAAGGCCATATAGTGTGCACTTTCCTGTAGATACAAATGTAGATTACCCGGAACGGAGAAGGAAAAACCAGGATTCGTTACAAGACGAAAGTACTGTACCAATAATCTCTCAAGCAACATTGTTTTT